ATACACATACACATATATATACACATATATATACACATATACATACACATATATATACACATACATACACATACATATATATATATATATATATATATATATATCACACCTCGAAAATACATACACTACACTACCGATTCGAATGTTAACCTACGAAGAAGTCCATAGTTTTTTCTCTTATTCAGTCACTAATTAATATTTTTGAATATTTTTTTTGTTTCGTTTTATTAATTGCAAAAAAAATTTCTATTGAACTTAGTTGCCGAATTTCAAATTTTAAGGTCGTAAGTATTTTTTTTTATTTGAACTTTAAACTGTTTAACCTTCGAAAAAGTCTAAAAAAAGTACTTGTTATCCGAAATTCGGTAAACAAGTTCAACAGAATACATTTCAATGAATATAAAAAGAAACGAAAAAAAATATTTCGAAATATGAATTAGTTATTGAATAAGAGAAGAAACTATAGATACATAATTTTGTGTAGATTAATATAGAGTAAAATAGAAGAATTTTTCTGGTTGCCAACATGAGACTTAAAAGTTTTTCAAAACCACCCTACCCCCTCATTAGCGAAGAACATGTTTGCTAGACTAGTTGTTCGCCCTTTTAAAAGAAGAGATTATATTGATACGACCGAATAAGGTTGTTTTAAGAAATGTCCGTCTGTTTATATGTATTTTTTGCTCAATATTATGTAGTTTTGTTTTATCAATAAATACCTTTATTTTCCACTGTAATTGAAAATTAACCACTTAACGAAAAAGGACCCTACAGTTTGGTTCAAGAATTGGCGTAGTGCTGGTTGGCGTTGGCGTCGCAGTGGCGCAATTTCTGAGGGGGGCGAAATTTAATTACACAGTCACAGTAGTTTTCTAAATTTCATACGGAGCCATGATGGCTAAGGGGATAGAGCGTTCGCCTTCCAATGAATTATACCGGATTCAAATACCAGCAATGTCTGGTCCATACGAATTCCGCATCCGACTTGCACCGACCCCCTGCTGACGTAAAGTATCCTCAGTGGTAGACAGATTGTGGGTTATTGTCCCCTTGTCATCAGGCTAACCATGGGAGGTTTTCGTGGTTTTCCTCTCCATGTAACGCAAATGAGGGTTAGTTTCATCAAGAAGTCCTCCACGAAGGTAAATTTTCTCCCAATACTTGATCCAGGAGTTCCCTTGTCTTCTGGATTGGGTTCAAAATCACAAGGATACGGAGTTGCTGACATTAGTATGTTAGAAAATTAGGTTTTTCTTCAAGAAGACCTAATCAAATCTTTGAGAGGGAAGGTCTCAGGTTTCCATAGCAACTCTCCTCCTCCTCTGCGCAGAATAAGTTAGCTTAAATTAGCAGTTCGCCCTTTAAAAAGAAGAGAATGTTAAGGATACGACCTTAAGGATACGACCTAATGAAGGATACGACCGAAGAAGGTTGAGTTAAGAAATGTTCTGTTTATTTGTACTTTTTGTTCAATAGTGTGTCGTTTTGCTTCATTAATAAATGCCTTTATTTTGTGATTCTAACGATAATGGAAAAATTACCACATTATTTACGAAAAAGATCCTTACAAGCTTTTTTAAGATTTTAGGATCGTATGCATTTAAATTTAATAATAATTATTTTACATTTTCATCATTTTATTTTTATTCGAGCAACAGATATACTAGATTAAATACAATGAAATTTGTAAATCTGACCTCATAATCGTAATTCGCAGAAATTCCAAGCCCCTAAAAATTATACAATATACAGTTTATCAACACAGTGAGAAGTTTGATGACTTACATTTATGTTGTTATGTTACGTTATACGAAGTTTTGAGACTTTTTCTTTTAAACATTTCGAACAAATTATTGAAAAATATTAGAAAAATTAGTGTGCTTTTATCAATCATATAAAGAAAACCAGCTCTATTCACAAGTTGTTCTATTAGCAGAGATGCCAACTTGCCCCGGACAGCAAATATATATTTTAAAGTGGTAGTTTATCAACTGTGATTCCTGGTTTAATAAATTCAATTTAGTGTATTTTTATCCACCACTATTTCTAAGTAATTGGTAGGCTTATATGATTCACCACTTTATAGTACTTACGTTATGCTATACCTTTTAAAAAACAAGCAAAAACAGTCAAATATTTGCCAAATTTACTTTGTTGTTATATACCGCTTTTTTAATTATTTTGGCGTGTCCGGAGCAGTTGGCATCTCTGTTAGACCCGTCTTTAGCGTGTATAATTCTGAAGTTACAAAAATGTGCTCATTAAGCGGTGGTACATTAATATTTTAAAGTAAGAAAAAAAATTATGAATTGTTGTGGAAAATTACCGTGAACAAAGAATTAGAAGTTTATAATAAAACGCTTTTACCCTTACTTCAGTTCTTACCAGCAATCAAATTTTTGAAGCCTTCAATCGTCGTTTACACTGTAATCTATCTTGATAATGAGTCGTCAGATTGTGATAAGGCTTTTGTTTCTTCAACTATAAAAGCTTAATTTGATTCTGTACTGTGTTCAATACTTGATACTCTTCTATGTACAATGATTCCCTATTGTAAAATATATTGAAAATATACGCAGGGCTTTTCAAAAATTTTTTTTAAATGAAAATAATAAAGCAAAAATAGGCATACCAAAAAAATAAATGGAAGCAGGTTATCGGACCATCGGAGGGGTTTCAAACTATGTGCAATACCAAAGAGCAATTAACAAAAATCAAATCATTCGACATCATATTATCTTTACTGTATCTCCGATGATTATATTGGAGAAATATTACAGTTCGTGGCCAAGTTATTAGACGCACTATACGATTTTATGTAAAATGTTAATTATCAGTATGTACTATACAGCTTTATTGTTTTTATCTGACCGAAACCGGTTTGCACTTGCTTACGTTCGTGTATCAATGGGTTAAATTAGGCGATATATAATATAAATTCGATGATTGAATAAATAAGATGATATATAATATAAATATAGAATATTTATTATATCAGGTATTATATTAGTATATTATAATAGTTAGACCAAATGATTAGAATCACTGTAGTTTTTTTTTATAAATAATTTCATGTTTTGCACGAGTTTATATGAAATACTTTTATATTTAAACATACATACAACGGGTTTTTATTCATGAGATTTTTTATATACTTCCTATTTGTATTTATTTTTAACGTATTGCATTGCTATGTTAACCCATTGATACACGTAACGTAAACAAGTGCAAGCAGTCCTGTAAAAACAGTAAAGCTGTATAGAGTATCACCTGATAATTAAGATTTTACATAGAATCTTAGAGTGTGTCTAATAATTTAACCGGGGACTTTAAACGAAGATATGTAATGTCATTTTGCTTGTACATTCATTACAAAAATATTTTTAGGTATGTTGACATTACTTCATTTTATTTTTAGTTTATAACCGTCGTTGAACATCCGACCGAATTTTATGGGTTTACGGCTACTCATGTTCAACTCTTTTGAACCCAATCCAGAAGACAAGGGAACTCCTGGATCAAGTATTGGGAGAAATCTGCCTCCGTGGAGGACTTTTTGGTGGAACTAACATGCATTTGCGTTACATAGAGAGCAAAGCCCCGAGAACCTCCCACGGTTAGCCTGATGGCAAGGGGACTCTAACCCATGATCCGTCCCACGTCAGCGCTGCGTCGGTGCAAGTCGGATGCGGTATTCATATCGACCAGCCATCGCCTTATTTTTTTTCGGCTGCTGGGCAAAATAAAAATAAAAACTATCTTACTTATGCTACCCCACATTCGCGTTACAGGGAGATGAAGACCACGAGAACCTGTCACGGTCAGCCTGACGGAAAAGGGACTCTAACCCTTGATACGTCTACCACTGAGGATATTTCACATCAGCACTGTGGTCGGTGCAAGCCGGATGCGGAATTCGTATCGACTGGGATTCGAACCCGGTTCGCCTCATTGGAAGGCGAACGCTCTATCCCCTGAGCCATCGATGCTCGCCATTCCTTCATTGACAATTCTTGTAATAACCTCATAAATTTTGTTGCAGAACACAGCCACTTCCTCTCCAGAGCCTCAAATGTTGGCCAATCAGTATGCCAACATGCCTGCTGCACTTTTGACGTCTCTGAAGAGGGACAAGAAGCCATTCACTTACACGCCAGGGGGAGTGAATCTGTCTGAAGTGTTGAATGCCCGCCTCCAGAAAAGGATGGAAAGGAAAAAGAAATACGTCGAAGACCGCATGAACGAAGACAAAAATCCAATCGAAAGGCTGCCGAAATTCGAACCACCACCCAAGCAAGTCATAGTCATGCCCACCTATAATTCACCTCTCGATATGTACTCGATGGAAAACGCACTTGAGGCACTGGAATGTCAAGCGGAGCTCGTCGCTGCAGATCAAAGGTTATTAACACACCTCTCTATAAACTGTTTTACTTTATTTTGTTGTTGTTGTAGTTCAAGAGCTGCACAATGGGCCATTGGCGACGGTCTGGGAAACATCCCTGAAGATGATCCGAAGACAAGCCTTCTCAATTTTGATCCTCTGCAGAGGGATGGCACCCCTCCCCCTTACGTATCTCGACGACCTGCACACGAAGCACTTTATTTTAAAACAGACCCATTATTAGATCAATATTCAAATCCACATCCTTGTAATTTTAAACCCAAAACCAGAAGACAAAGGAACTCTTGGATCAATCATTGGGACAAGCATGGAGGATTTTTTTATGGAACTAATCCGCATTTGCGTTATATGGAGTGAAAAACTGCGAAAGCAAGGGGATTCTAGAGCATAATTTGTCAGTTACTGAGGATATTTTACCTAAGCACTCTGTAAGATGCGACACTACTGGTCGTTGCGTTATCTGGAGAGGAAAACCTACCAGGGTTAACCCGACTACAAGAGGATTCTAAACCATGATTTGTCTACCGATGAGCATATTTTTACGTCAGAACTGTGGTCGATGCGAGCCGAGAGCAGAATACGAACCTGGGTCATCTCATTGGGAGGTGAGCGCTCCAGCTGCGGAGCCACCGCGACTCTGATTCATAACTATTGTTTAAATATAAAGAGTCAGAAACATAATAAGTAAGGATCATATGAAGAAAATCTTGCCGCGAATGGAATGTAGACGTGTTACGTGACCACAAATTATTAATTTAACCAGCTGACTGTCCTGTACCTAAAAAGTGGTATTTTAACCTGCAGTTTTCTCTGCAAAGCAAAACCGGTTTTTCTATGTTATTAGATAGGGAAATAGTGTGTAGGGGTGAAACATTCTCCAAATTTTGATCTTTTGCTAAACTACCAGAGGGTTAAAATTACTTTCTTGCTTCGGTCGCGGTCGTTGCAAGGCGTTACAACTTCTGTTTGAAAATGCGAACACCGTGTTTAGTTCTCGTATTTAATTAACGACTAGAATCATCGAAGTAATTCGCTAATTTTTAGACTAATTTCGACCAAATTGTAATCAATTTTGGATTCTAATCATAATTAATTTCTCGTTTTGTAGATTAAAATCTTCTTATTCGTAAATACTCACCCAATCCCAAAATTGCTTCACAATGGTTGTGTTTTCGCGAGCTGAAATTATTATTCACTTAAATTTTGCGTTCTAAAAATATAATCGTTGTTATTAAGTCACCAATTCCTCTCACGCAAAGATTAGCTGCTCTATTCTATTGGATTTTAATCTTGAAAATAAATCGCTTTTCTAGATTACAATTCTTTTATAAACAAAGTTTAGAAATTCGGACTTGAAATGAAGTTTTCTTTGCATGGCAATGTCCGATTTTTTCGGTAATTCTTAAAACATGATTGTAACTTTTAACCAAAGTTCTAATCAAAAGTTTTAATCATACCTCTGATAGCCTGGTTGGTAGGGCACTGGGCCCATGTCCAAGAGTTCGTGGGTTCGATTCCCGCCGGCTGAAGACTCCCCGAGTTGTAAATGGTGACTGATGCTCGTTAAATCTGTCGAGTCGCAAAGTCCTCCATGTTCCCATAACAACTCAATACCTCTAGGGGTACTGATCCAGGGGTTTCCTTGCCTTCTGTTTCTGAAATTACAAGGCTGTGGTAAAAAAACGGTTATACGGCAAAATAAGGTTTAGTAATTCCCACCAGGTATAATTCTAATAATTAATTATAATATTAGTCATAATTATGCATTTTATTATGATTAAATTAATCAAAAATAAGATAACAGTAAAATTGACCAAAAGTAGGGAAATAATTTTTGCCCCCCTATAAGCAGTATCCGACACAGTGAGTGGAAGTACCGTGATACTTTTATAGGGATGCGTTAAGGTTAAAATTTTAAATTACTTTTTCATAATACTACAGCAAGTGAAATGAGAATTTGCTATAAATGTTTAAGGTAAAAAATATGATTTTTAAGCTATAGTGATAATTATAAAAATTCGACATTGGAACATATTAATAGTAATAGTCAAAGTTCTCGATGGTCCCATCAAAACATTTTGATGGTTTGTGCGATTCATGATGGTCCAATATCATTTGATGGTCAACGTCGTCCAACATTTTCCATTATACGTTCATGGTTTTTGATATGCCACAACAAACTTCAATCATTCCATGATGGAAAATGCTACTTTAATACCGGGATGGTTAACCATCAAAAGAAGTTTGATTCTCATGGACCAACAATCCATGATGGTCCGTGATGGTCCATGATGGTTCCAACTCTACATTTCCATGACTGTTTGACTGTTCTTGTTGCTTCTCAACAATATACCATCAAAACAATTTCGTTTTGGATTATCATAAATCATTCCGAATTCTAACATTGAGATGATGGTTGTTCTTGATCGTTGCAACAATTGATTTCTAAGGTACTTTGATGAAAATTTATGATGTTCCATAATGGTACAACTATGTATTTCTGTGATGGTTTACTAATAATTATTGCTGGATCAGCAGGAATATACCATCAAAACAATTTGTTTGTTTTTTATGTTGGTCCATCAAAAATCAGTCCGAATTCCTACATTGAGATGATGGTGGTTCATGATCGTTGCAACAATTGATTTCTAAGGTACTTTGATGGAAATTTATGATGTTCCATAATGGTACAACTATGTATTTCAGTGATGGTTTAATAATAATTACAGTTGGAGCAGCAGGAATATACAATCAAAATAATTTTTTTATGTTGGCCCATCCTAAAGCAGTCCGAATTACTACATTGAGATGATGGTGGTTCATGGTCGTTCCAACATTTGATTTTTAAGACACTATGATGGAAATTTCTGGTGGTTCAACATGATCAAACCTTCAAAACAAGTTACTATTTTTATGTTGGACCGTCTTAAACCTGTCCGAATTCCTACATTGGGGTGACCGCTACTTATGTCGGTTATCATCAAAAATATAATGGTTCATGATGGAATTATTGATGGTTACCATCAAGATCATATTGGTGCATCAATGGAAAACCATCGAAAATTTCCAGTTGGGAAATAATTAAAAAACTTAATATTAATAATTATGTTATGTGAATAATGTGATTTCAAATATTCTTATGATATTTTTCTTCTTCAGTCTTAGCGCACGTTCAGCCACTCTTCCAAGAAACCACAAGTTTAATGAAGATGACAGGGTGTCCCAATCGAAAGCCTTCAAGGTGCTTCAGATAATTACCGACACAGAAGAGGATGCTTCCGGAAAAGGTAATCTTTTTATTACCTTTTTTTAAAAAAGAGACTTGTTTAATATGCTAAATAGTCAATCTTCTAATAAAACTCCCGTTGCTTTTAATCAGGACGTAGGATAAAATGCGTGTTTAAAGAAATAAACAGATACTATACGTTTGCTATACAGGGGTTGGATAAAATAATGGAAACACTTTGAGCAGTGGTGGCTCAGGGAGTAGATAATTCGCATTCCAATGACGTGAACCGGGTTCGAATCCAAGTCATAGCTGATCGATATGAATTCTGCACCCGACTCGCACCAACCACAGTGCTGATGTGAAATATCCTCAGTGGTAGACGGAACATGGGTTAGAGCCCCCTTAGCGTCAGTAGTTGAAAACAAGTAGCCGTAAACTCAGAATTTAGGTTGACTGTTCAATGACAGTTATAAAGTAAAATGCTTGTTGCCTGTGTTTTGCTGTCTAATAAGTCGGGTTTAAAGTTGACAGTGGATTGATTTGTCCCAATAAGAAAGCGGTTGACAATTCAGAAAGTCCTCCACGAAGACAAATCTCTCAAGATACTTGATCCAGGAGTTCTCTTGCCTTCTGGATTGGGTTCAAAATTGCAAGGTTAAAGAGTTAAACATTAGTAGTCGTAAATCCAAAATTGGGTCTGCTGTTTAACTACGGTTATAAAATAAAACTAGGAGGCTTCGCCCCCTGCTCGCTGGCGCTCGCTAACCCCCAGAACTGTTTTCGCAGTTCATTTCAGATTGCTTCGCAATCCGATGCTCGCTTTGCTCGCTCATTGGATACGTTCTTAACGTCTAGCTTTTGTATACTTTTTTGAACACTGAAGTTCCGCAAACTTTTCATTGTAGAAAATTCTAAACCTGTGCATTTCAATATTAATTTGAAATTGCAAACATTTCGCATATTTTTCTTAATCACACTATTCTAAATTTCAGTTGTTGAGAAAAGTAACTGTTGTAAGTTTTGTTTTAAAGTCTTTCCCACCAGAGGGCTAAAACCATGTGTTGTAAAACAATATGAAATAGTACTGAACGCCGGATGTAAAGCATCGGCTTCGATGAAGATAATTTTGTGAGAATTTTTTTGATAATTCGGTGAGAATTCACCCGATTAGACATATGATACTCACTACGTGCTCTTGCTTGCCGAAGCCTATCAATTAAAACGTATTAGCGTTTTATATAATATAGATTAGCCATATGATGCTCCCTACGTGCTCTTGCGCGCCGAATCCTATCAATTAAAAATGAAAACTGTTGCCAACGCGAGAAAAGAAATATCATCGATTTTATTGATACATACGTATTAGCGTTTTATATAATATAGATTATAAAATGGAAACAGTTTGATACTAGCACATTTTCTGATATTTCTCAAAAAATACTTAGACTATTATTTTACAACTTAACACGTGCTTAGTTCATGCGATTTCTCATACATGTCATTAACGTTTAAAGCTTCCAAAAGTTTGTGGGTCCGGCAATAAATTACGAGAACAATTTTTTTTGGAATACCCTATGCTAAGATACAAAATGAAATTCGAGGAAAACCCCTTATCATTCAGAGCTTTCTTTAGATAAGTAGGGGAGAGTGGGGTCAATTGTAACATTTTTTACTTAACTATTTNCTGAATTGAACAACCTGATAATGCTCACTCTGGTTATTGTTTCCGTTTTTAAAAGCGCTATATGTTGAGCCACCTCATGTGACAATTGCCATGTGACATTTTCAGCAGCGATCATTGGTCGATTTTCTAACGTTGCCATTCGGGGAGTTGTAATGAGGCTTTTTTTTGGTGCCGTGTAAGAGAAATATATATATAGATAGATTATAAAATGGAAACACTTTGATACTAGCACATTTTCTGATATTTCTCAAAAAATACTTAGACTATTATTTTACAACTTAACACGTGTTTAGTTCATGCGATTTCTCATACATGTCATTAACGTTTAAAGCTTCCAAAAGTTTGTGGGTCCGGCAATAAATTACGAGAACAAATTTTTTTGGAATACCCTATGCTAAGATACAAAATGAAATTCGAGGAAAACCCCTTATCATTCAGAGCTTTCTTTAGATTAGTACAAAAGGACTTAGAAAATTGCTAGAAACTTTTTGAATTTTCAAGATATCCAAATCAGATTTTTCTCTGTAAGTTACAAAATACGATTCAGAATAAAATTTTGAAGGAAAAATATTTAAATATTTCCCGCGCATGCGTAGTGAGAAAAAATTACTTCAAATACTCAGATCCAGCTCAATTTTTAACAAATGGTGTATTTGCACATCTTTTTAATTCATTTTTCAAATGAGGTAAATAAATTTTTAATACGAGTATTCAATTTATGTCATTTTTAAGTTATCAGAAAATAATCGTTCTACAGCTAATAATTTTAACTAAATTGTAGTTCACCAACTGCATCCCAGAGAGCAAAATGAGGTTTATTTTCAGTCAGCAAAAACCTTTCAATGTAAATCTAAAAAGGGATTTTTATGCGGTTTACGTGTAAACCTTCTAATCTTAAAACGAGATCTGAGACAATCTGATCATTCTACGCACATTACCCTAATCCAAAACCTTTGAAAACCTTCTATATAGAAACCTTAAACCGAGGTTGTCTTAGCGTGAAGAAAATCCTTGAATAAAGCTAGTCTTAAGTGAGAATAATCTTAAATCTAGGTCATAATAAGGTTTCTTTTCGCAGTATCTCGTATGCTCAGCTGAAATCCACCTTTTCATGAAATTTTAATGGACAATGCAATTTGATCCTGTCTCTAGTGTGACGTCAACTAAAAAGCCAATATTGACCAATACTTTTTAAAAAAAGTTCTAAAAATAATTTTTAATCCTTTTAGGATGAAAGGTTTCAAGCTGCAATAATTTTGCTTTATTGAAAAAAGGTTTTTAGCACAAACATTTTCATCCAATAAAAAGAAATTTCGACACAAGATCGCCGTAAGATGGTTACATGCTTTCTGGGGTAGCCCTAACTTATTTTATTAATATACTTGCTAATTCCGAAATAAGCATTTTACTCCTTAGAACAATCATAGATTTATTCAAAGCATAAATAAGACTATTACCGTAAACCGGAGCGAGTCTACCCATCCAGGGGCGAGTCTACCCATTTTAGTTCTATTTATTTTTCACTATTTTAAATTGCAAATAAAAATTTTTTTACCGACGGAGATCTTAGTTCAGACTCTAAGGAAGATGGCGCTGTAGTAGTTTGATCCGTTTTAATTTATTTGGTGTCTTTTTAACCGACCTGTTCAAACGTCTTTTGAGAGATTTGTATTGAAAATCAGCAAACTTTTAGTTGGTGCTCCGTAAGTATATTATTATTATTACTATTTTCACTTTGGTTAAGTGATAAACTTATCTAAGACTAAGATTACATTAATTTTATATGAAAAAAAAACAAAAAGAATGTAAGTTTTGCTGTTGTAAACAAAAAGCCAGAATTCGCGGGGCGAGTCTACCCATTCGTATTTAGTTTTAATAAAGCATAAT